TTCCTTATTATGCAGATGAGTCATTTGCTACAAGATGTCACATTATAAACACGTTTTGCTAAAAATTTGCTATCTGTTGGTCATCACTCGGAGTCTATGAACTCTAAGAAACTAGCAAAATTTTGCAAAAAATAGAAAGAAGGCCCAGATATCATAAAAAATGAACTTTTTTGTTCAGACGATCACTTTGTGTAAATGATCTTCTTCATTTCAAACTCAAATTAAGTATGTTGTTGCAGTAGCTCAACAGTATATGTTAACTGTCCATGACAATGAGGAATCGATACTTTTTAATTTGATCCTTGCTTGGAGCGGTTAATATTTTTTAAAACAAAGTCTAGTCATTTGACAGTTGATTTTATTTACTTATTCTTTAGATTATTAAAATGAAGTTAAATTTTGATTCTGAATACTGCACCGAAAGCAAAAGCAAAATAATCGCAGTTAGACTATACTCCAATTCAAGCGATTTCTTTATGAATTATTCTGATAGGGAGTTTGCCAATATATAACTATAATTTTTTAATCAAATCATCAGAATTCTTAACTTACGCTAATGCATTTCTGTGTGGGAAGACTTCTTACTGTTTAGGAATTTATGTACACAAAATAGATGGATGAATTATAAATAAATACATGTAATTCACTTTAATATTAATGCACAAAGCTCAATACTTACGAGTTTATTAAAAAAATAAGAATAAATTCAAATTATCCATTACATATTTTTTTAGCGAATTTTAGCATGCTTATGAGTATCAAAAGAAAAAATTAAAGGATCAATGTTATGAACAGGATTAATTATAGCATATACCATAAAGCATTTGCATCAAATGAAGTACGAATCCCAATATAACCATGTTGCAAAATTTAGTTTCGTTATATCTACCTTTTTAATTTCAACTAATTGTTTTCAATAAATAAAAAAATAAATGAATAAATAAATAAATAATTAAACAAATAAAAAAATAAATAAATAAATAAATAATACACGATAAAATGTCCGGCATGTTAATTACCATTATTTATGTAAGCAAGCAAAAACTATTTTGATTGACATAATTATCAAGGAAACTTGTTACAAAGTTTTAATCAATTGTAGTCCTCCGAAACATAAAATATGCTGCGAATAAAATAAATGAAATATATGAAGATAACAACTTTTTCTAAAGATTATATTTAATATCAACCAATCATATCAAGCATCTACATTTAAGTGTCCAAGCAGAAGGCTATGCTGATGCTGTAATGAATACATTTAAGTGATAATAAATATGGAGACAAACAATGTATTCTTTACATTGACGTATATATAAAAATCGTTTTTTTAAAATGCCATTGTATTTTCTAGTTGTTTGCGGTAAAAAAAGAAAAAAAGTGTGAAGAGAACGAAAAGTGATCGACCTAAAGATTAAAAATTCTTCAAAGAATACAAATTGTGAACAGGGCAAAAAATACAAACTGTCAACAGAAAACAAAGAAAAAAAGGAGAAAAAAACATGGTTCCCTGGAAACTCCAGAGGTGGGGTTACGAAATGATTTTTGGTTGAGGCCAAACATTTTTTCAGAGGCCATTCATTATAGGCTAGGTCAACCTTTAAGGTTAGACCAGAATTTGGTTTGGGGTCAAAATAGAGGGCAGGTTTCTACATATTTCTGTTGATTTGTAATGTGAACATTAAAATATGTACTACCACCAATCTGATTTATTTTATTGATTATCCATCAATCAATTTACATATATTTCTTTTTATAATTTGAAGACCTTTGATGTTTGCAAACATTTCATACTGGCACACTACTAATACATTTGCTTGAATAATTACAAAAAAGTCTCAAAGTTTATTTGTATTTTCCAAATTGTGCACATTGAAAACAAACGCTATATATAATAATCCGTATCAAATGTCACATATAGCTTAAACAAATTCCCACTTGTTAAGTAATGAATCACCACCCTTCACACAATGCACTGTAGAGTTACTATTATATCTGCATTCTCTTGAAATTGATATATAAAGTAGAGATATCTAGGAATTTTTAGATATGAAAAAATGTTTATATTATACTCGGTTGATTACTCTGTTTTAACTTCAAAATGAGGTGGAATTTAAAACTTAAATAATAAATAGCATAATCAAATAATTGATAACTTTCTGTTTCTGTGCAGTAATACTGTAACTGGATATTGGATAAAAAAAAAAAAAAAAAAAAAAAAAAAAAAAAAAAAATGGTTCTGGACAGGGAGTCAAGGTTAATCAACTATAAAACATATATGTGCATTGTTAGTTAAGTCACACATGTTTTGTAAATAATTTCCTTCTAAAACTTTCTTTTCCCAAAATTATCAAAACAAAAGGTGATTTTGATAACAGTTTAATAACATTGATTTTGTGAAACAATTGCATCCTATTAACCAGACTATAAAGACCCTATAGCGTTTGGTCAATTACTTGCCTATCACAGTATTGACAGTATTTCTAACTTTTAAAGTAAAATGTAAAGTTCACATCATAAAAAAAATATTTTTTATTCTTAATGACAACAGTTTTAAAGTACAAATCAGTGACACTTAAAGTAACAAATATAAATTTCTTTTAGTTCTTAGGTTATTATTACCTATCTGCACTCATTTCTTTGTTGTCTTGATAATTTTTAAAATTTTATGTTTCTAAACTTTTAACTGTGGATATATCATCAATTATGACTTAGAAATTAAATAAAATAATCACTTTAATTTAATCATTGTGGTATTTTTGCATTGAAAGTAAAAATATGTGCTCTGTATTATATCTTCAAAATTTAAACTGATCAAAGATAATCAATGAAATAAATCAGATTGTTGGTTGCGCATGATTATTTTAATGTGCACATTTACAAATCAACAGAAATATATAATTTATCCGCTTTAACATAGAATAGGGGCCAAAATTTTTTACAATGGCCAAATTTGAGACCGGGCCAACTTTTGAAAACAGGTCAAAATTTCATTTGGAGCCAAATTAGAGGCCAAAATAGAAGGCAGGCCAACTTAGAGGCCAGGCCAGGTTTTGTCAGTTCTGGTAAAAAGAAAACACAAATATGAATAATCGTATTTTGAACTTTCAGCATTAACGTAGCTATAAAAAACACTGATCCAATTCCAATATGGTGTGGACAACTATAACAGCTAGGCCACATTTACATGAAGGAAGCAAAAAAGAAAACATTTAAAATGCTACTTTCTTATTGACTTATTTTTGTAACAGATTACACCTAGCATTCTGACGATTTGTCCTATCCATTTTAGCTCTATTTATTATGTCAACGTAAGAAAGCAAACACTAATCATGATTGACAAATCAAGGAAACTTGTCACATAGTTTTAGTCACATAGTTGTGGTCTTTCTAAATATGAAAAATGCAGCGAATAAAAAAGCCTTTTTCTTAAGGTATGTTTTAGTATCGACCAATCAGATGCGCCAACTTCTTCTGAATCAGCAGGGACATTTAAATGGATATATAGAAGAAAAAATATTGCTTTATACTCGTCCTAAAAATAAAGAACTGAGATAGACGACTATAATTATTTAATAAAATATTAATTTTGCTCATCGAATAAAAAAAGTACATTTGATATTTTAAACAAATAACAAGTTGCTCAGCTCTAAATTGGTCGATCTTATTGATAAAAGTTTTAAGTATCTGCTTTTCTACATGGATTTTGGGTTACTTTTCATTTCATTATTAGATTTATGAGAAATATGAATTCTAAATATAAGAATGCGCAGAATTATAAATGTAAGCATATGCAGATTAAAAAAAATAACTTTCCTGAGATTCTAATGCGTCAAAACAAATGGCTTTTCTGGAATCAATCAGTAAAAAAACTTAAAATAGTTGCTGTCGAGGGGGACAGTAAACTTGCTATTGACCGAATAGTCAGTAAATAGGTGCTTCAATATACCAAAGTAGTCTTCACTTGTTTCACGTCACGATACGGATAAAACTGTGATGAAAACAGAGATTAAAAGTGGGGGAAAATCGAATGCTGCCGGTCTATTTTACGATGTGCAAATAGCACAAAAACTTTTTCACGGTAGAGGCTATATATAAAATGTAGAGGTTTATTAGTTATATTTTTATAAAGAAAAAAAATACACAGTACTATTATAAATCATGAATTTAATCGTCGAAGTTTAGACATTTAATATGAAAATTACTTTTTGTTTTATGTTAATTTATCCAGGTTCAAGCTATGCCGACAATATTATCAATGACGAGGTCAAAGGCTATGCTAAATTTTGAAGAATGTCAACGGATCATATTCTATTGTTTTTTAAAGTCAAACAACATAAATCAAGGAAAAAAAATGGTATCCGCCAATAAAAAAATTCCCGAATAAATAACAAGAATAAAGTTTTTCTTTACTTCCTTCAAATGTAATTCTTGTCATTTTTGGTCCAAATTTTAAAATTAGCGAATCACTTAACATTTTCCACAAATCCTTGCAGAGAAAATAGTGTACATTATAAAATGATTCACTGCACAGGTAACATTATCTGCAAAACTGCAAAAATGAGTTACGACTAAATATAATGAACAATAAAGCATCCCCGACTTCTATAGGCTATTTTTGCATAAATAGGCCATAAAAATAAAAATCAACCGTCGTATATGACTAAATTCGGTTCATTTTTTACATGTAAAAGGATACGCATCACTGGATTGTGGAGCCCATTTCTTCTGTCAACTTTATACTGTCAAAAACCTCATTTTTTGTAATTAAGGAAAATGTTAAACATTTTTGTGTAATTGTGGTCTACCGAAAGATAAAACATGTAACAAATCAAATTATCTCTCTGTCCTTCAATTTGCCATATCGACCAATAGGATTCATGGAACATGTTATAATTGTGTTGATTAGATATGCTAATCAAGATGGTTGATTTGTATAAAAGCGCCGCCGAAAGATTTCTGTCAGTGAAGTAATTTCAAACACAATAAGAAATTGAAACAAAATGGAAAACTTTCTTAAGGAAACCGTGTTTAGCGGTGATATCATTGCACTTCAGAAGGTATTAAAATCTGGAGTTGATGTTAACGTTCTGGATGAAAATGGAGAACCTCTATTATTTACCCCAATCGTTAATGGTGATATGGATACCCTTAAGGTTCTACTACCCCACACTGATGTCAACATGACGAATGACGATTGTAGAACGGCTCTGATGATCGCAGTTGAAATGAATGATATAGACATGGTGAAAAAGTTAATCAAATCAGGTAGGTTTTAAGTTGCCTAAATAGATATAGTGTAATAAGATAAAAAATATCGATGTCATTGAAACAACTTGAGGAAAACTGTTCTTAATTGCTACATTTGTTTATCAGGTGCAGATGTAAACAGGAAAGACAACTCTGGAAAAACTTCCTTACTGATTGCTCTGGAGGATGGTAATTTCAAAATTGCAGAATATCTGATCAAACACGGAAGTGACGTCAATGTAGTGGACAACCTTGGTCAATCTGCCCTTCACCTTGTTGCAACAGGAGAACATAATGATTGTACCAAAATCGTCAAAATTCTGTTAAATTGTGGATATGTGATGAAGGATTCTGATAATTGGCTTTGCCCTGAAGACCTAATATCTAATCCAAAATTGCAATCCAAATATTTCAAATTGATGCACAAAGTTAAAATGTCATTGAAGGCTATCTCAAAATGTGACATTATAATTCCAGTTGGATCTTGAATACATTTTTCATGAACAATCTGTACCTTCGCAGATGAAAAATGTCTTCTTACAAGAAGAGACCCCACGGAAAAGCAAGAGGAAATCAGTGTGAGTTTCTGTTAGACAGGAGCTTCAAACGGCAGATTTCTACCGCCGTCAAGGACATGAAATAAGAAATAGTTACCAAAGAGTCATCTAAAGCAGTGTTTTCTCCGAACCATGCGCGGTGTATGTATAAAACCATTGCATACATGAATTATAAAGAATCATCTTTAAACAAAGATGTCACATTTGTAAGAGACTTAAAAAAGACATTGAGAGCTATATGATCAACTGAGAGAAAAACATGTACTTAAATGGATTTACGATAAATAAAATCAAAACAATTACAACTCAGTGTATTTTATTTATTAATTTTGCATTATTATTCAAAACATCCCTTGAAGGTCAAAACATTAAATCATACTGAAGCAAAAAATACAATATTTTACCATAGTTCTTTTTTATTTTCTACCTTACTTAATGAAGCATAGTAATTATTATAAACTTGTGAAACTCATACACGTATTATTATCTTTAACCTAAAATGAAATCTGTATTAAAATCAAGAGACAGTAGATAAATCGTTTATAAAAAAAAAACTTAGACATGATATAGATATTTCACGTCATTTCATAGGTACACAGAATGATAATAGAATATAATTGTAGTTGCCTTGGCATATTGTATACATTTGTTTGTAATTTACACAAGAGAGACTTTGTCATTCAGTTAACTGAAAGCTTACTGAAAGTCAACCAAATGACAGAGCTTACCATTCAGTCACCTTTCCTGACATTTCAGTGACCATTTAGTTGACATAATGGCAGTTTCATTCTGCAATAGACACAGTAGTTGATACATTTCGCCATTCATTTGCCAGTATATCAGGTTTTTGTTGATATTGGTTAGAATATTGTACGTGAAACCTAATAAATACATGCATAGTTTATTGATAAAACTAACGTATTGAATTAAACAATGCATTAATTTTGTCATATAAAGAAGAAACATCGATGCAATACGGTACACATGAGGAAAATGCCATGTCTTTATGAACTGGCATCAATTCATCAACTGTTCATGAATCGCTAAAAAAAAGGGAGGGAGTAATGTTGAAAAAAGTGTGTGTGGTCAATTGATCTTTTTACTCCAATAAGAGTACAAACCCACCAATACGAATATGTCATTACCTTAGTCCAGCTGTACGCCACTTGACTTTTCTGATTTTTTTCCATTATAGGTGCTTTAATATGGAGACGATTCAAAGGGACAAAGCTGTTGTAGCGGCAATAGTGCATCGAGACTACCCTGAAATCGGACAATAAAGTGGAATTTCAGAACTCAATTAAAAGATAGAAAATATGCAGAGGTCAATGAAAACAACACTGTGAAGAATGTGTTACTTCATTCTGTGATTTTTTTTTATAATAATATATCTTCAGAACTTCAAGTAAACTTTCCATACATGAAAATAAATATTTGGTTCCTTAGCAATCGGTACATGTATACATGGTATGCTATTAATTCCTTTTTTGATAATAAAAAAAAATTATCTATCATTTTTAATTGCTTCGATTTTGAAAATATAAACACAATAAAACGTTCAATTCAGAGATCGATAATCAAAAGGATCAGAATTACATACTACCCTTTCTAGATCTTAATGAGAAATTGAAAAGAAACCGTGGTATTTATTGTAATAAAGCAAAGATATAATGAAAAAAAAAATCAAAAGACTTATAAAAAAGGTGTCTTACATCGAACTCCGTCGAATAGAATTAAGAAATTTCCGCACAGAATTGAAACTCCATTATCTAAGAACTTATATATATTAGAAAATAATGTGCATATATACAAATTGTCGCAATGTATGTGCATGTTTGTATAACTAGATATGCAAATAGAGAATAACCCATGTTATTTATAAAATTAAAAGTATATGTATATGCTTACATTGTAAGTTATTCGAATTCTTCTTTTTCATTTTGTCGATTTATTTATAGAGACATTTGTAACGTATTTTTTTTTTATATATAAATTCATACTTTTAGAAGCTCTTTACCGGTGTCGTAGTGACCTTTAAAAAACATGATCTGATTATTCTAACTACATAAAAGGCTATGTGATATTTGAAGTAATGGAACAAATGTGTATACCAATAAATGACTACTAAAGATTGAAAGATGTCAAATAATTGACATAAAGACATTCATTTTGATAACGTAGGTTACATTATTTAATGATATGTCTTGATTTTTGAATAAACCTTCAAATTAGGTTTACATTTCAGTATTAATCATGCGGTACCACGCAGCGGCCATTTTTAATATTCATTCGATGAATTATGATCTCTTTAATAGATAAAAATCGTGAATTGTGGCATTCTTAGTTATATTAATTCATTTTAAGCTATGCTTATTTGCAGTGCCAATGATAAAATTAAAAAAAAAAATCAGCGCATTAGATTTTAGAAAACATAATTGACGAAATTACAGAAAAGGCATTATAAAGAAAAGCGCATGGGAAACTGATCAAAATAGCTAAATTGTTATATAAGATCGATTAAAAGAAGCAGTTGAGTTTTAGCATCAACGATGTTGACACAATGATTGGCTTATATTGTACAATTGTTATAGTTTCACTTAATTATCAAATAAGGAAATCATCACAGTTTCCATTTCCTGAGAAAGGAAACCATATTAAGAAAAATGATATTAAAGGCTAAAAGCAAAAATTGAAATGTGATCTATCTATTTATTATGTATACCTTTGTGATACTATTGAAATAAACAAATAGGTATTAACAGTTTGTTTCAAAATAATGAATGCGTTCTCAGGATCATCCCAATTTAAAACAGCAAGGAGAAATAATACTCCACAAGTTTATAGTTAATATTTTCAAGATTTGATATAACCTCTTAGAACTAATCACAGATTTCTGAATGAATGAGCAATTGTCTTCCATTGCTATGAGGGACAATCAGTAATTTCAATCATTCATGTAAAACAACCAATATAATCTCGACTGGAATGTTTCATAATTTTAATGAAATCAGGATAGTGTCTTTGATGCAAGGAAAACCACTCTGATTCCAGTTCAATCTTATTAAGGTAGGTAAAAATCATGAATATAAAATGTGTCATGAGGCAATACCGCTGTGATTATTAATTAATTTGTTTAATTCCTTATCTTAACGTTTTTATGATTGATATGTCAAGGAATCTGTTGACACATTAATTTGGAAACTGTGGTCGACCAAAACATAAAATCTGTGGCAAATAGTAATAGCGAATCTTAAGGTAAATTTGTAATGTGAACCAATCAGATTCAGTGAATGTCTCTGAAGTTACATTGATATGCAAATTCAGGTATTTGATAAGTATAAAAGGAACATAAATCTCTATCACCGGTATACTTTGTAAGATTACAATTGCTACGAGTTGACTGAAAATGAAAGTCGTGTACTCAACCTTGCATATGTTGGAGGCCGTTATCAATGGTGATATAACTGCTCTTCAAAACGTACTAAAATCTGGCATTGATGTTAACGTTCTGGATAAAAATGGAGAACCTTTGTTATTTACTCCAATCGTTAATGGTGATATGGATACTCTAAAGGTTCTCCTAGCCTACGCTGACGTCAACATGACGACTGACGATTGCAGGACCGCTCTCATGATTGCAACTGAAATGAATGATATAGACATAGTGAAAAAGTTAATCAAATCAGGTAGGTTTTTAAGTAGCCTTAATAGATATGGCTTATATGATAAAAATATCGATTTCAATGAAAATATGTCTATGTTTTTTTTTTAAATTGATGTATTTATTTATCAGGTGCAGATGTAAACAGGAAAGACAACTCTGGAAAAACTCCCTTACTGATAGCTCTGGAGGATGGTAATTTCAAAATTGCAGAATATCTGATCAAACACGGAAGTGACGTCAACGTAGTGGACAACCTTGGTCAATCTGCCCTCTACCTTGTTGCAACTGGAGAAGGCAATGACTGTACGAAAATCGTCAAAATTCTGTTAAGCTGTGGATATGTGTTGAAGGATTCTGATAATTGGCTTTGCCCTGAAGACCTAATATCTAATGCAAAATTTCAATCCAAATATTTCAAATTGATGCAGAAAGTAAATAATTCATTGAAGGCTATCTCAAAATGTGACATTATAATTCCAGTTGGATCTTGAATACATTTTCCATAACCAATCTGTACCTTAGCAGATGAAAAAAGTCTTTTTAAAAGAAGAGATGCTACTGGAAATCAAGAGGAAATCAATGTGAGTTCCTGTTAGACAGGAGCTTCAGAATGCACGTTTCTTCCACTGACGAGTACAGGATATAAAGATGGTTACCAAAGAGTCATCTAACGCATTATGTTTTGTACGAGCCATGGTGTATGAATTAAAACTGCATATATGAATAACGTAAAGAATTGTGTTTAAACGTGGAGGCCATGTTTAAGAAGACATTGAGAGCCTATGATGAACTAAGAGAAAAACTTGTTTTTAAGTAGAATAGTGATAAATAAAGTTGAAAAACAATCAGAGCTGCAGTATTTTTATTTATCCTTATTTTGCATCAATAGAATATTTTACTTTGACTTGAAAGTCAATCATACTCGCTCTATTACGATACCTACAGGAAAAAGGAACAAAAATCAAAAGCAGAGAGGAAAATCAGGTGTTTTTTTTTATATTCAAATTTGATTAGATTAAAACATTTAATGTAAATTACTTATTTTTGTATTGATATTGTTAGCCATGGAAATATTAACTTATTTTAGAATCGATGTGTTTTTCTCCTTAAGCAACAATAAAATTTGTTTAAATGCCTTTTTCTTGTATACTCGCGCAAAAGTGACGTCACAATAAGGTTACAGAGACGTTGATAAAAATATAACGTAAAGCTTGGACATAGGCATATTTTTTATGAAGCACTTAATTTGTGCTGTTTGACTCTCCCTCTTCCCTTACTTTTGCTTTGTTAATTAAAACACCCTTGAAACACTAAAACATGAATACACAGTATTTTATTATAGGATTGCATATTGAGGCATAGAATTTTTTTTATGAAACTGATATATTATATGTTTTATTTTAATTTCTTGACTTAAAAAATCCTCCATATGATCGATCAAAATCAAAAGGAAATAGTTTGACCCCCCCCCCCTCCTCCAAAAAGAAATAGAAAAAAAACCAAAAGACAGAGATGATATAAATCAATATGCCTGATATATTGTTAAAATTACACGTAACATATTGAAGTAAACGGTGTTTTGTCTTGTAAAGCAGAAACACGATATCTACATGTATCACATTGTTTTGAAAATGTCTTTTTGTCTTATCAAATCATCACAAAATATCAAATCGTAATAGCTCCCTTTAGTGTACGATATTGTAACAAAACAAGCTTATCAAATGCAGCAAGTTTTTGAAAAATACTGATCGACAATAGAATCTATTATGCAAAGTATTATGTCATTTGTTGTACATGTATGTTTGATTTAGTTGAACAAAATTATTTAATAAGTCGTTAGAAGCTAAGCGGTGAAAGTACATTTTGAAAATAATTTACTTTGTAAAAACTTTTTGTTTCTCCTATCCATTTTGTTTCCAACACAAATCAAGTTTCACAGTAAATCTTGACCATGTTTGATGCTTTCATAAAATATGTTTATTAATTATCTGTCATATTATGTAATTTCTTTGAAATCATAACTGATATAGTTGAAATATCCCTTCAGCGAGTTTGAAATAGATCTATTGCGTTTGGAAGGCACAGTCGTATCAGTTTGAAAGTTACAATACAATCTGTTTAATAACTTTACTGTATTAATGTGATAACGTGACAAATATTTATATATGTCATTTATTTTTGAATATGGTATCTATATTCCAGACCGTACCTAGTCAAAAAGATTTCAAAAGTAACCGCTGTTCCTTCATCATCTTGCATGAGTGAAAAGTTCTCGAACGGGACGTAAAACAACATACAATCAATCAATCTTTCATGAACTTAATACAGATCGCTAAATTTCATTTTCAAGACAAAAAGTCTTACAGTATGTAAATTTCCCCGCGAAAAGTGAGGTTAGCATTTGGCCATTTAAGCCATTTATTATGAAGTCAGCTTTATGATGTGGATAGATTTTAATTCAATTCTATTTAAAAGCAGATGAGTAGATTGAGAATTTTTCGAATAAACCCCCACATATAAAGGTTTCAATTTAATATGCATACTATTTCATTAATTCCTATTTTAGGAATAAAAATTCATAATCTGTTATTTCCATTGTTTGAACTTTAGGAATTATAATATAAGTGCTTTAAAATGTGCAAATGAGAGATCGATTAAATTTGCTAAAATGTTAAAATGAGAGATCGATTTAATTTGCTAAGTCTCCTTTCTTCCTCAAAATGTAGACAAATCTGGATATTTATTGTACTGAAACAAAGATACATAAAAAATATAATTTACTTTAAAATCTTAATGCCTTTCGCCAGTGTTCACCAGTAAATTCAGAGTTTCACGTGAGATTCGTTCGAAAATAGAATTAAGAAATGTTTTCACACGATTCAGACTCTATATAGTCTACAAACGTACGTTCTTATGAAAAAAATCATGTGCATTTATATACTGTAGATCACTATATTTTCGCGACACCTTATTTTCGCGAAACAAAATTTCCGCGAGTTGTGGTTTCTGTTCTATATCATCCTTAACAAAACAAATATATGCAAGAAGAAAATTTTCGCGAGCAGACAAACTCGTATAATAGAGCGGAAATAAAGTTCTCGCGAATAAAAAGTGATTTACAGTAACCCCCAAGTGAAAAATTTAGGCGCCAACTTGCTTCCAATCAAATATTTCGTCGCCAGTGCAAATCTATAGTCGCCAGGCAAATTTTTATTCAATTTTAAGAGCTGATTTAAGTCAATATAGGGACCGATGGGGTTGATACGGGAGGGGGTGTTTAGTGCAAGTATCTTAAGCCCCCCCCCCCCCTTTTAGGCGGAATAGTAATGATGGAGATACAGTAGGAAATGTTCAAAGTAGAATTGTAAAAGGACCATTTTTGCTTTGCAAATATCTCATACTTGAATGAACCCCCTCTCCCTTCAATCTTTCCACTGTCCTCAATGCATTCACCAAGTGATAAATAAATAAATAAAAATTGTAAAAGAAAAAAAAATATCATGAAATATAAACCAGTTAAATGCTAACAGGTTTTAAATCGAGGATTGTTTACATGATTCACATTTTATGCTCGTCCGTACAATTACGACCTAACGCTAATGTGAAGATAATATTTCTAATGTGTGAAAATTTAATTTCAAACAATTGACCACATCACTCGTCCAATTTTCTGTATTTCACAATTGCTTATTTTCTGGAACCAAAAAAATTAACTTGACCAGCTATTGTCTTGTCTTTTCAACCAAAGCTCTGTGTGTACTTACGCGACGCGAACTTTTGTTCGCATAAGCGTTGAATGATAAAACAATATTTACAATCAACATGTATTGTGCTTATGAAGTGTGACGAAAGCTACGGCACTCAAACACCATAACAAAGACAGAGGGTCAAAAGGTTAAATTAAGTATGCGTTTTATTTTGACGTCACAAATGTTGAACGCCGTGGAAGTGCAACGTTATTAGCGAAAATCAAAATTCACGCTCACATTGAACAGAAGATGTTGCAACGGCTCTTCCATCAATTATAACCCACCCGAAGGATTATACAGGAATTTTGGAATAAAAATCAGATTTGCAGTCAAGGCAAGGCGTTAAAAATGTAAATATAAGCATTGAATCATTTTTTTTTTGAAAGATATAGTCTCATAACTGCAACGATGCAAACAAACTGCAAACAAAATGAGTAACGCAGTAACGCAGTTATGAGACTATATCTTTCAAAAAATAATGATTCAATGCTTAAATAAAAGTGACAAAAAATGTCCATTGTTAAAAAATAGAATTAAGCGGCCTTGGCGACTAAATTAGTTTCCAATTAGAGCCCTGTATAGTGTATGTATAGCTTTATGACTTTGGTTTTGTAGAAGACATCATGTATATTCCTACAATGTCAGCTTGAAACTTTGCGTGATTTCTCTTTGCATAATTATTTAAGTGGACTGAAAGTTCGAACATGCATAATTTTTATGTTTTCTCTTGAATTCGTACTGTTAGAAGGTTAAAATCAATGTTCGTAGTGAAATCGTTTGTATGTTATGATCTGATCATTCTAACTGCATGCTTAAAAGACTACTTGAAATTATGGAGCATACGACTACTAGAAATTGAAAAATGTCAAGTAAGTTGGCATTTAGACATTATTTTCTATAAGATAAGTGACATTAATTGATGATATATCTTGATTTTTGAAGATCTTCAGGTTAATCCGTTTTAATCATATGGTACCATGCAGCGGCCATTTTAAATATTCAACTGATGAAATTTGATCTCCTTAATAGCTCAAATTCATGAATTGTGGTATTATTAAGGTCATTCGTTTACAAACGGAAGACCTTCTTCTGATTTTGTTGTTTTTTTCCCAATATTATCATTATTATTTTTTTTCGAGAACGCCTCGATAGATTTTCATGAAACTTTCAGCAAATGATATCAAATCATCTGAACTAAAGGCATATCTTTATTTTGCCGTCGTCACTTCCATTCGCGAGATACGGCGAATTCTCTGTTTTTAGTGGCATTTTTTCCGCCAGTGTTCTCAAAACGGTTGGCGATTGAGTCTTGAAACTTTCAGGAATGATAGATTATGATATGTGAAAAACCTGTTTAGTGTTTGTTGCAGTGTTGCCCTTGTCCACGGGAAGTAGTTTAAAAATAGGCAAAATCTTTATTTTTTTTCTTTTTAAAATGTTTATAATAGAGGCAATTAGAGTGTTTCGAGTCATATTATTTCCACTAGAAATTATTTCTTCCAAACTGGAAGTTGTTGAAAAAAATAGCATATTTCCTCGGAACTTTGAGGGATGATTTCTTTTCACTCAGTGAGGAGTAAAAAGTAATTTTGAGTACTTCCAGTCATACCGGAAGTGAATAAAAAAGACCAGAAGTTGTTTGAAATTGATAAATTTAAATCTTTTATGTGTTGCTAAGCATATTTTGAAAAATTGATATAAATATTTTTTTCATTTAAGGTTGTTTTACCTTCTTTTTTCACTCAAACTTTCCCAATTTAAGATCTTATCAAAAACCTAACGGAAGATCTAGTCGTTGCTCGCAACAAGATCTCGTCTAGTTAACATTAGTTAATACAATGTGCAGTTCTTATGATGATAAAAAAATTGACGGCACATTAGATTTTAAACAGCATTAGATAAAATTACAGAAGAGGCACCATTTAGAACGCTGAGGGGAATAGCTAAATTGTTCTCTAACATTGATTTCAGAGGCAATTGCTACGCGCTTTTACGAAGCAGACGCAATGATTGGTTAATATTATACAATTATGGACTCTTTCGGTGGTGAATATGGTTTGTTATTCACCAGAAAAATATCAATATTGATATTTTTCTGGTGAATAACAAACCATATTCACCATCGAAAGAGTCCATAATTGTTTTATTATATAGTCCAGATTCGAATAGATAAGACATTGAAGGCTGCATAATAATACCACTTTCATTTACGAACTTCTGTCGTAGAAAAAAAAATGTCCAGTAGCCCTTTTCACAAAAAATCTTAAGTTTTTGCATAGGATTTTAACTTAAGAATCTCTTACGACAAA